AATTATTCCAGTTTTTTGTCTGTATTTTCCATGAATTTGTCTGCCTTTTTCATGAATTTGTCTATTTTTTCCTCATTTTTGTCTGCTTTTTGCTTCAACTATTGGATAGCTCTGAATATTAGAGATTTGAATTCCCTATCAGGTAGTTCTAGTGCCTTTTCTTCTATTGGAAAGTCATCTGGTATTTTACTTTGGATGCCTACTGGAACCATCCTGTCCTGTTTTGTAAATGTTTTGATATTGTCTGCTGTCTTCGGGGCATTCAGTAGTTATTTCCCTCATTTACTGACTGTAGATTTGTTTGTTTCATCCTGCTTTTTGTTTTAGTTGGCTATGTCTCAGCAGGCGGGCTGTGTGTTCTTTGCTGTTAGCTCATCTTTGGGCATGATACTTTTTGCCTCCTTCTCCAACTGGCAGGGTCAGTCGCTCAGATAGGGTACAGCAAGGCAGGTCTAGCTGAAGAGGAGTTGCTGGGATGGTTTGTTTGTGGCACTTACTACAGCCACCAGGGCGAGCCAGTCATCAGTGCAGGGCAGGTTCTGGTAGGCTGTGCCTGGGCTGCTTGCTGGTGCAATGTTCAGCACATGGTGCAGGTAGGCAAGATGGAAGGGGGAGACTGTGATGTGTGGAGCTAAGATGCGTATGAGAGAGAGCAGAGAGGAACGGGAGCCAAAAACATACAAACACACAAAAAAGAGTGCTAGGGGAGCTCACCATTGGAGTAGAGAGATGAGAGACTATGAAATGGAGAAAAAACAAAAAGGAGAAGAAGAAAAGAAAAAAAATGAATAAATAAAAATTAGAAAGAAGAAAAGAAAAGCTTCCAGGGATCCCTCTGCAAGGTCTGGGGAAATTGCTTCCAGGCCATGAAGTACAGCCTGGCTAGAAGGGGTAGAGGTGTCACTCAGCACCAGGTATTCAGGGGACAGGAAGAGAAGGAAAGTATAGAGAGATGAGAAACTGAGTAATGAAGAAAGACAAAAAGGGAAAACAAAACAAACAAACAAAAAAGAGCAAGAAAAACCCCCAAAGAAAAACAGAACAAAAAAAAAAGCCCAAAAAATAACAAGAAAAAAGAAATGCTCTCAGGGATCCCTCTGTGTGTCTGCACAAACTAAGGGGGTATGTCCCAAGCTGCACAGTACTGCCCAGCTAGAACGGGCTCCCAATTCGTGAAAAGAAAAGAAAACAAACAATTCAAAAGACACCAAAACTAAGCCCCAGGATCCTACCAGTATGGCAGCAGGGGCCGGGAAGCAGTTTCACATTCAAGCACAGCATTTCACAGCTTTTCAGCAAGACGCAAAGATGGCACATGGAGCCAGATATTTGAGAGAAAGGAGGAGGAGGTGGTGAGAGGTAAGGAAGAAATCTAAAGAAGCAGA